TGGTGTCAAGCCTAGTCTCAGTCACTTGAAGGTGTTTGGATCTATAGCACATAGACATGTGCCAGATCAGTTGAGAAGGAAGCTTGATGATAAATCGAATCAGATGATCTTGGTAGGGTATCATTCGACAGGAGGGTACAAGCTGTTCGTCCCGATGAATAAGCAGGTAGTGATCAGCAGGGACGTGATCATAGATGAGCTTAAAGGATGGGATTGAACTAAGAATGCCAAGAAGGATTCAGTGAGAATCTCTTGTGAAGAACCAGCCACTGAAGTCGAAATAGAAGCTCGACTATAACCAGTTGCAGATGAAGCAGGTTCAAGCCGACCTTGACGAACAAGACACATGCCTGCAAGGTTGCAAGAATGTGTAATTACATCAGATGATGTAGTCGATGAAGAGGGTGAGTTGGTACATTATGCTTTCTACGCAGATGTCGAACCAGTCAATGCAGCCGAGGCATTGAAAGATTCAAAGTGGATGAAAGCAATGATTGAAGAGTTGGAGTCCTTCGAAGTCAATGATACCTGGTCACTTGTCGAATTTCCGCAAGGCAAGAAGGCAATTGATGTGAAGTGGGTTTACAAGGTGAAGATAAATCCTAAAGGAGAAGTAACTCGACATAAGGCGAGACTTGTGGCGAAAGGATTTCTTCAGAAGGAAGGAATCGACTTCGATGAAGTATTCACACCTGTTGCTAGAATCGAAACAATCAGGTTGGTTGTTGGTCTAGCAAATATGAACAACTGGCACACATGTCAGATGGACGTGAAGTGTGCATTCCTTAATGGCCCCTTAGACGAAGAATTTTATGTTGCACAACCAGCTGGGTTTGTGAAACAAGACGGAGAAAAAAAGGTGTATAGGCTTCATAAAGCCCTGTACGGACTTAAGCAAGCACATCGAAATGAGGTTCCATTATCTTCGAGAGCAGGTAGCAGAAGGGAAGATGAAGTTGGAACACTGCAGAATTGAGAATCAAATTGCAGATATCATGACGAAGGGAGTGCAGGTCGAAGCCTTCAGAAGACTAAGAGCCATGATGAATGTAGACAGTTTAGACACAATGAATTAGGTGGTGTGTTAAATGTAATTCATTGTTTTGATTTGATTTGATATGATTAGATTTGATTTGAATATTTTGGGCCTTTTATGTTTTGGGCTTTTGTAAACCTAAAACTATAAATAGGGTGCCTTGCTTTGTATTCAAACACAACATAGAACAGATTTCACAGTTGCAGTGTTTAGCAAGTGAAAGTTCTATAAGAAATAAGAAATTCCACAGTTGTGGGTAACACATTCTCTCCAAATATTTCTTCTCTCATTCTTCTCTTTCTTGTGTGTTCTTCTTTTCTTTTGTTGTTCTTGATAATTACTTGTTATTACCATTACTATCATATTGTGGGTTTGTTCATCAATCTTGAGATCAAGATTGAATGGAATTCTTCATAGGGTGTGAGGTGAATTTCCAACATAATTTGTAATTTGGATATCAAAAAAATCGATCCAAATTAAACTGTATTAAATTTGATCGGATCCGGTCAGATTTTTTTAATCAATCGTCCACAACCAAACCAAACCATGAGTAAATTTACCTTTGGATCGGATGATATTTTGCTTCAAAAACGATCCAAACCGAACCGCGAACACTCCTACCTACACCTATCAAGTTGCTTGTCATCGAAGGTACATGTTGATCGCGACTTTCTATGTCTAATACAACTTAACTGCAAGTGCACAGTCTATCGCGTAGTAATAAAAGATATCGATCCCACAGGGACTCGTAATCAAACTAGTGCTCTCGGGAGTTACTATGTTTAGCTAGGTAGATAATGTTTAGGGAAATAATTTTTTTTGCCACTAAAGGGAACTAGAAATGTTATTTGAATTATAATTACGTGAATCGATATGCAGTAATTATGTTCTTCGGGGATTTGACAAGTTACCGGTATATGAAATATTTTTCAGAATTTATTTAAGCAGAAAATAGTGATCTGAAGACTTTCGTCTCACGATGGTTGTTGACGTTAGTCATAATTCTAAGGGTCAAATGTACGCTTTCGTGTCCCATTCGGGGTTAAAACTATTTTTTGGAAATCTCTAAGTTCTAATTCATTTTAAAGTGCTTTCGCTGTTATTAAAATAAATGACTAGTGTTTACTATCTGGTCTTACCGCAGCTGTCGCTTGTTGGTTCGTACCTTAATTAATTTCCCATTTTCGTGGCAAAACTACTTTTAAATAAGTTCTCGCTTTCGCGACGAAGTTTATTCAGTAAATAAGTTTAAACACTCAGACCATAAACAACATTTGAAAAAGAGAGTTTTCAACCGGTTATTATCAAATCCCGTCTGAATTATTATTACATATCGATTACTCTGATTTAGCTAGACATGGATTTGGGAAAGGTAAAACATAAATAAAAACAATGATTAATAACATGCATCATAATGAAAACTGAAATTACGATTAAAATTTAGAACCTGTAAATATTCCAATTGGCCTTTGGGCAGATCCTCCACAAATGTTGGCAGGATTCTGGTCTTTATGCCAATTGATCGTACAAGGGAAATAGGAATTACAAAATATCAAAGAAATGCAGAGAAAGAAAAGAGAAACAAATAAGAATAAAATAAAGGAAAGGTTGCTCTGAAGATAAATTGGCAGCACTTCGTTGTCTGAATGCGGCTCCCTTTCTCAGCTCCCCTCCTTCCCCTTTTATAGAAATAGAATTCTAACGGTTGTAATTTGAAGAAGGTGGACTTAGAACTGTAATTTGAAGAAGGTTGTAATTTTGAAGAAGGCAGAAATATCAGGGAGTAGTGGTCCACTATTTGGGACTTGGAAATGTATTTTGCACGTTCATTTGAAGTTGGGCGTTTTTGCCTGCATGACGGTCGTCACGGTGTGTGACGGTCGTCATGGAGCTGTGACGGTCGTCACAGCAGCAAAATATGCATTCTGCGTTTTTCATGTTGTTTTCATCCGGTTTTCGTCCATATTTCATCTGTAATTGCTTCTTTTCTTCATATTGCTTTGTTTAGACGTGATCATCGAATACCTGCAAAATATCAGACAAATAACATGGAAAGAACCCGAAATCGGATTGAAAACAGTCAAACATCAGTCGAATTATGCATCAATATATATATATATATATATATATATATATATATATATATATATATATATATATATATATATATATATATATATATATATATATATATATATATATATATATATATATATATATATATATATATATATATATATATATATATATATACGATTTCGTGTTATCACATGTAATACATCAATGATGTTGGCTTTTCGACCATTCTTTATGACAACAGAGATATCACCATTTCCGCCTGATGTGATGTGTTTGCCATATGCAAACTTTATCACTTTCTCAACTGATTCTTCTAACTTGGTGAACCAGTTTTTATTACCAGTCATGTGGTTACTGCATCTTGAATTCAAATACCACATGTTAGTTTTCTGAGTGTTGACCATGAGTAGCACATCATCAGAGTCACTATCTTCTGTATGTGCATACTCCACTTCATCGTTATCTTTCGCTCCCGCTTCCTCAATTATTTTCTCAAACACATTGGAATCCACACACTGGTGAATCAAGAACAAACATTTTCCATCTTTCTTTTTTCGTTCCTTGTGTGCAACTTGCTGAACATCATCTACATTCGCTTTCAATGTCGGTCTCCATCGTTCACGATTTCAGTCACATCTTAAAATCTGAAGATGACTTTCATTTGCGCAATCCACCATTCATAGTTCTCCCCTTTGAAAACTAGTAGATTCATTAAAAATTACATTGATGTTGTATTTCCGCTTGTCATTACAAATTTTTTCTGAATCGCAACCCGACCTCCTTATACCAATTTTTTGGAACAAAAGGTTTTTAAAAAAGATGAAAGAAGAAGAAGAACAAAGAAAAGAGAGAAAAATATAAATTCAATTGTAAAAAATTATAATTTGTAATGAGTGAAATTCTATTTTGATTCACATCATATAATGCCCTTTACATAAGCAACTAAAGTCCATGCCAAAAACTCTACAAACTTACACAAACTTAAAACATACAAAACACAAAGTTCAAAATTACAAATTGCATTTCAACACAGCTATATGTTATATTCGACTCAATCGAATACAATTGACTCCTCCACATCAACTAATTATTTTAATATAACAAAATGCTAATTTTCGACAAAACATTAAATTCTAATCATTTCGGACATACCAACTACCTTTCCACGGATCATTAAAAACATTCTATCCACCACATTGTAAAAAAAAAAATGAAACTCTTCCGGACAATATCCTTGTCAAGTTAGATGCTAATCACATAGACTCTTAGGTAGGATGGTGCATAAGTAATTATCTTCTCTCTCTTCAACACTATTAGCAATTGTCTTTTCTCTCTTCAACACAATTAGCAGGTGTTTTTTAAGGATGTCATTTATTATAACATACTACTTTGCTTATTCTTTTCCTTCTTTCTTTTTCTCATGTAAGAAAAAAAAACTTAAATTGTTATTAAATGGTTTCAATAGGTCTAATATCTATCTAAATTATTTTATAAGATGAAAGATGGATTGGCCAAGTTATTCGTCTTCAATTAAGTCCAATTATATATTCTTTAGTTATATCAATGGCTTATAAGTTACTAGTGTATGATGCACAAGATTTTTACTTCTCCATGTTAAAAATCCACCTTGCTTTTATGCAAAAACAAGTAATTATGAATGATTTTCTTTCTTGCTCTTTTTTTCATTTCAGCTGCGTTTTTATAGTATACTTTTTTGCACTGTAAATTTTTTATCATGTGCAAAAAAATCTGTCAGAATGAATGAAATACCAAACCAAAACACTATGCTACCATTCTGACAAAAAACAGAAAGCTCCTATCAAAACCTAATTACATAATAATGAAATAAAGAAGTAAAAAATATATATATTATTAATTAAAAAATCTACACACCACCACAAGGCACACAACACCACTTTGCAAGTTGGTCAAAAAACCACTCAACATGACTTAAGTGGTCCTCCTCAATAGGAGATGGAGCTGGCAGTGGTAGCTCATCGGGCAGCTGGCGATGAAACGCGTCAACTGCAGCAGCAACGCCGTCTTCGTTCTCTATCAACTTAGCAACTTCCATCGCCCGAGACTTCACCTGAAACGCGTTAACAGTCAAAATTATTATTGGTTTCGCAATGAGAAAGGTCTTTTGATGATTATACATTACCTCTGGCTGGAGCATGAATTTTATAGCGTTTGATAAATTCTCAACATTGAGCTCATATATTGGAATTGGTTCTGGTCCCAACTCTTTCTGATGTATTCTATCTCCCCAAAAGAATTGATCTCCAAAGAATGGAACTATTGTTGTTGGACACTGCAAATTAATGGAACGGCGTTTAAAGATCGCGTCATTGCTACATCATCATAACAAAGAAAAACATCTCAGTGAAGATCTATTGAGTAATAATTACCCCGGCTTTTAATCCTGTGGCGGTGGTTCCGGCTCCACCATGATGCACCTGCAATTTCACACCTAGATTTGAGTGAACTTTCGACCAGAACCGCAGTGACCCCTCCTAAGGAATTTTTTTCTTTACCGAATAATCGCACAAGAAAGCATAAATTGAAACTAACCACCGCAGAGCATTGAGGAAACAGCCAATCATGAGGGCATTCCTCGAGAAGGAAAACGTCGTCAGAAATTTCTGCCACTGCATAAGTGAAAACACGCGCTAGTGAAACTAATGTCAATCCCCTAAAATGCGCATAACAAACTGTAAAATCATCTCAATATGCATCATAAGTCAAATCATGAAATATGTTTATCAATTCTTAAACTTGAGACCATCAAAATGCTGAAAATTTAACAATAGTTCTCACTTAATCCGAGTTAATGGCAAAAAAACAGGTAGAATTTACTTTTGAAATAGAATACTTACAATTTCCTAGATTACCCCAACCTCGGTCGATAATTCCCCGCTGTTCTGTCTCTTTTAGGGCCTCCAATATAACATCTGTTGTTACTTTAGGATCTTCAAGAGGCTGACATAAGCAAAAGCAAAATTTCTTTAAGATGACAACAACTTTCTATTCACTATCTTACGAGTATACCCGAAACAGATATTCAAGACAAGATATATCATTGCACTGTTTGTATTACCATACCATGCTCCCAAATCCAAAATATATAGGAGGTGGTCCTTTTTTAATCCATTGGACAAAATCTTCCCGTGGTTGATACTTCGACCCAAGCCTCAAGAAACAGTAACCGACAACATCGACTAAAGAGCCCCAGTCTGTAAGTTAACAAAAATGTCATTATCTTCATGGACCAATTCTTCTAAGCTTAAGCTGTTTAACGGAGGCCCGTGAGTGATTTTATATCTTCTCATTTTCAAAAGGTTATATTATCGCCACAAATAAGGTTACGAAAGGATATCGTACGATGCAATTAATAACTGTGTCCTTGTCCATACCATTTGGTTTCGGAACAAGATGAGGACTCCACATATAGGCAGTTGGTAAATGAGATATTGATCCACGATACATGCTGAAGTATGCAATAGGAGGAAGCTTCAACGTTCTTTTCCTGAAGTCGTTAATGATTCCTCGCATTCCCCACCATATCAGTAGATCCACAATTATATAAGACAGCTGGAAATTGCAGGGAAATATGGGTATGTTGATAAGGAAGTCCAGCAAGTATTCATAAAAATAGAAAAATCAGATTACGAAATATTGGTTCCGCAAAGATCATACCCAATAACCAGCGCCTTGAGGAACACGTGCCAAAGGGTGGGGAAACGCATAGGTTGGCCTGCGTATTTAATAATAAAAATGTAACAGAACTCAGTTTGTAGTTTTAACTAAAACATTTTAGTACTGCATGAATACTATTCAAGAGTATGAAAATAACTTAGATCTTGTTATTGAAATGTATCTTGCTAATATATAAATGTGAATAAGCTATTATAACAGATTAAACTCACGTCCATGGCATAGTGAAGAAGATGTGAATAGGCACCCCAAGGGCTTCAGCAACATGTACATGCCCTGCAAGCCGGAATCAACGATATAATTCTCTCTATAAGAAACCATGTGCTTGGCAAACTTGCAAAGCATGACAATATGATTATCATGTTATAATAAAATAACTATTGGCACTTAATCCTTAAAAGAAAAATCAATTATAAGAAGATATGGATAAAAATCAACTATTGGCATAAAATCTTGGCCCGCCCCACGAAAAAGTGCGGGCAAAACGGGCATGCCCAGCGGGCCAGGTCTGTTTTGCCACCCCCCTAAATACAATAATCTTCTAATCACTCACCATATGCAGGAGGGTTGGCAATAATAGCTTGAGCTGTGAAGGGAATGCCAGTTTCTGAATCAGGTGCTGTGCAAGCTGGAAGAAGAGAATCAATTATGGCCTTCAGCTGCTTTCTTTGGATCGATATTTCCGTTGTACCAGAAGGGATCAAACCTTTATTCCTTGCCATATCTATCATTTAAACAACTCATTTAGTCTATCAGAAGATGGAACCGAAATACAAATTTACAGATACTAACAAAATTATTAAAAGGAAGCTCTTACATCCTGCCAATACCCGAGGATCACCACCCAGAGGATGGAAATTTACACCAGCAGATCTTACAAATGTCTTGAAATTAGCATGAGTTGCTATCCTAACACGATGGCCATACTCCTGCAAGTACAAACTCAAAATTCACATAACCGATTTTATTAGTAAGGAAAAATTATCTAGTGCACAGAAATATAATCTTTATCTGTCGGGAAAGTACGCAATAACAAAAAGCATAACTATTTTATCACACTTTTCTCATGTGGATTAATATGAACTGAAATGAAATACTCAAACATGCCTGAAGTCTCTTTGCAATGGCCACAAAAGGTTGTACATCTCCTCTAGTTCCAACCACAAGTATGACAATTTGTAACCGCGGAACTGATTTTTTCGAATCAGAAATAATAAAACTTCCACTCATTGTCGACTCTTCATAAGACTGAAGCTCTAACAACTCTGAAGCAACACTAGCACTCCTTTCTAGATCAACTTCAACAGTCCCATCTTTTTGTATCTTCACTAAGTTAGCAATCAGTTTTTCCTAAGAAGCAAAACAATGAAGTGTCATCAACAATACCGGCCGCAACAGGAAGTTATAGCTTACTCCAATCGGAACAAACATACACAAGCACAACTTTGAATTTTCAGATCATCGACAGCCAATAAAACTTGCATATACCTTCTCATGCTCTGACAGTCTGTCCAACATTAGGTCATGCCTTCGAAGTGCTCTCTTTTCTGTCATTGACCTAGAAATCATAATCTCATCTTCAGCCATTAGTAAATTTCTCTCAGTTCCACTAGTTGTTGTGATGCGATGTTCCAGACCTTCGTGAACATAATTTAATAAACCAGACATATTGAATCAATCTCTTAACATAGACAAGTTAGAAACGGTAGTCCTTGGGGACAAAACCAATAGCAATTAACCAAACAAGGATGTAAGCACACACCTAATTCACCGAAACTAGACAGTAGACTCGATACTGACACATGTCTAGACATCACAGACGATACATCTATTTCACAGTCATCAATTACCTAAAAGCATGAAAGAATAAACTAATATAGATAAAGCAAATGAGCACAAACCTATGTTTGGCAAAGAAGTAGCTTCCGATTCCGATGATTGGTGTCCAAAATCTGCCTTCGAATCCTCTTCCATCTTAGAAGAAACTGAATCAACAACTTCTTGAGACATAACTTCCTCTCTAACATTAACCAACTTATCATCATTCATTTGTCTGAAACTGAAACCCTTTTTTTCTTCTAACACATGTTTGCACAAATATTCAATCCCATTACAACCCATAACAGAAATCAGTATTCTCAATTCTCAGCTTCAGAAACATTTAGAAAACATATAGCTGAAAGCTCAATCTGTCCACAAACTGAGAAAGAAGAAGACAAAAACACAAGTTTCTTGAAATTGGAATCTGATTCTGAACAGTAGCAGTTCCCTTAACACAAATAGTCCTAATCACATGGCAACCAAAACAAACCAATTTACTGATCCACACAGTAAAAAAAACAGTACAACTAACTATCCAACAGTCATTCAAAACACGAAGAATGTTTGGTGAACTGAAAATTCAAACCTTCTCAAAATTTTCAACTCTAACCTTACAACACAATTGAAGTATGAAGTATGAAGATATAATAGTACTTATCGTTGAAAATTGAAATCAATAGCAGAAAAAAAAAAGGTTAATTGACTTGTTTAAGGTTTATGTCGACAATAACATAGGAAATTTGCGAGGAACGGTAGTTACTTGCTTCCGACAAAACAGTGTCTAAAACTGGTTAACACTTAACCACAAATTCAACTATAGAATTAGAATCGCATAAGGGGCAAATATTTCACAATTTTATTCATCATTGTTTAATAAATAAATATTTATAAATGAATAAGAAAAATTGAAATTATTTTTTAAGAGAATCAATTTAGTCTTTAATTTATTTTTGTTATTGGTCGATCGGTGTCTAATAAAGTCAATGATTGTTTTATTTGTACATTTAGTAGTGTTTAGGGTTTCAATATAAGAAATTACAATGCTGGTCAATTTTAAGAGAAAATTAATAGAAATAAAAAGATTGATTATTAATCAATGGATTAGATTTAGCGGTTGAAATAAACTATCAGAAAATAATAAATTAAGATTCAAATTTCAACAATATATATATATATAATGAAAATAATAAATTAAGAAAAAATTATCAAAAATCAAGAGAAATGTTTCTTTTTTATTTTTATCTTTATTTTTTATTTTATTAATAATAAAGACGTGAGTTTTATAATTTTTTCAAAGAACAAATGAATGAAAGTATACTTGTAAAAGTAATAAAAATATAATAATAATGTAAAGTATTCAATAATTAATAAACGCATTATAAAATAGAATAAGCTTATGTGTAGTTACAACTATGGATGTTTCAATTTCACCTGAACCCAATGAATGTTGTTAAGAAAATCAACTTCAATAAACTTATGTATAGTCGCAACTATAGATGGAGATACTGAAGGTGAGAAAATTACTTAGAAGGGGGGGAGGGGGGGGGGGGTTGAATAAGTAAGACAAATAATCAGAGATTTAAACACAGTTATTTTTATCCTGGTTCGTTGAACTCAACTACTCCAGTCCACCCTCTCAAGAGTGATTTGCCTTTCTCAGTCAAAGACTTAATCCACTATTTAATCAAACAGATTACAATAGTAACACCTAAGAACAACTGTTCTTAGTCTTCTCAAGAGCTACTGATCCCACCTGGATCCTCTTAAGGAAAACCTTTTACAATCAATGTAAAACTATTACAAGAGTAAGAATGCTTCTAAGAAGCTGTTATCACAACTGTGATATTTCTCTTAAGTTTAAGAACAATGTTACAGAAAAATAAAATATAAGAGCTTTGAGAGAATTGCTTTGATGAGTGATTTTTGCAAGTAGTTCGATACTGAAGAAGATGGAGTGGACTTCTTTATATAGGCACATAGATCCATGAAGTCTTCTCAACGTTGAAGACTGTGCTGAAAAGCCTGGAGCCTTTTGTCTTTACATTGGAGGTTGTGCTGAAAAAGCCTGATGCCTTTTGTCTTCACTTTGCAGAAACTTTCCTTAGAATGGAATGCACAGATAAAACCTTTTTGTCTGTGTTCTTGTGTCTAGCACAAAAGAGGAAAGAGCTGTTGAGATATGGCAACGTACATATTCAAATCTTCTTCACTAAATAAGTTCAGCTATCAACATTAGAGTCTGGATCTTCAGAATCTCTAGAGTAGAGATATTCTGGATCTTCAGAGTCTGGGATGTTCTTCAGATTGTGCTGAATCAGAGTATGTGCAACTTGTGTGCTTGAGCGTGTAATTCTGTCAGAGCCGAGTCTTCTATATCATATTCTCAATACTTATGCAGCGCAGTATCTTCAGAGTCTTCTGATGACTAAGCTTCTGATCTCTCAGAGTCTTCTATTCTTTAGAGGCTTCTGCTTCAGAATCTTCAGTAGACAGCACTCAGATTCTTCTGGGACCAGCGTTCAGATCTTCATTTAAGATGCTCTTGAACCTTTGAAGCCTTTCATAATATCATTGTTCAGATCCAAATTTGCTCTCTTAAGAATATTTTCTTTAGTACCTGTAGCAAACAGTCTAGAACAAATTTAGAGTATATAATTCTTGAATACAAAATTCATAAGTGTTATCATCAAAACAGAGAGATATAACTAAGAAACAATCTGTGTTCTTACAATCTCCCCCTTTTTGATGATGACAAAACATGAGAAATTTTGTTCAATAAAAAATATGAATTATAACTCCCCCTGAGATTAACAATCTCCCCCTGAAATAAATACTCTAATAGAAGAGAACGCTTCCCTTTTTGATTAAGTATATTTCAGATTTAGAGCCTGATGCAAGAGGTTTGACTTTCAGAGTCAAATGTTGATACCAGATAATTAAAACTTTCTTCAGTCAGAGCGTCTGGTTATCATCTTGCTTGAATTATCTTTCAGAGTGAAGGTATCAGAGTAAGCTATCAGATTTGATTGAATACTCAGATTTGCTTTGAAGATCAGGTTCTGGTTGGAAAAGTCTCAGGGTAGCTTCAATGAATTATGTCAGATATATCAATGTAATCTGAAAGACTTAAATTCAAAGTAAGTTAATTAAAATGTCTGAATTTCAGTTTTAGTAATTGCTTATAGTTTGAACAATCAGATTCTCTTTTTCTCCCCCTTTTTGTCATAATCAAAAAGATTTTTAAAGACATAAAGATACAGAAGAAAAGAAGCATATAGAAGCAAAAACATCAACATGCAATTAAACATACCAAAGTTCACAGTCAAACAGGCAGATGCCAAAACGCATAACACAACAGTAAGAAAGCAACAAAAACAATAACATGTGCAGAAAAAACGACAAATAAGACTAAGTCTGGCGTGAGGCAATAAGGGTCAGAAGCTCTGTCATTTTGGCAGTTGACTCTTCTTGCTTAGACATCCAGGTCTTGATCTCATCAGTTGTCTTCTCTTGCTTGACCATCCAATCTTTTATTTCCTTAACATCATTCACAAGCTCTGTGACCACAGATGAAGAGGGAGCAGATGCAGTAGCAGCAGGGTTCCCTTCAGACTGGTTCTCTTCAGAAGCTTGTTCAACCATTTCAGATTCAGGAACTTCTGGAGGAGCAATTTCCAAAAGTAACACAGGAGGAGGATGAGGCATGTTCATCAGAGTTACCTTGATTAATTCTGCAAACTTAGTCTTAGCAAGCTTAGAGCATTTAGCTCTAACTTTTAAGGCAGCTTTGTTGAACATCCAGATGAAGCACTTCCAAGCAGCATTTGAAACAGTTGGATCCAAACTAGACATGCACACATCCTTAACACGAGTATATTCAGAATCTATCTCCTTTTTGAAAATTTCAAACATAGCATTAACACATGATCCTAGATCTGACTGTTCAGACTGATCAAAGGGATTAGGATTAGGAGTGTTAACAGGAGTAGGTTCAGATGGTGTAGGTTCAGATGGTTGTGGTTGAGGTGATGTTGGTTGAGATGTTTGGATGTCAGATTAAGGGAGTTCAGATGGTTGAGGAATGGTTTGTGTTTCAGATGGATTGGTTTCATATGGTTGAGGGATGGTTTGTGTTTCAGATGTTTGAGTTTCAGATGGTTGAATTTCAGATGGTTGTGGTTGAGGTGGAGAGTTTGGTGGAGTATGAAACATGGAAATGTTAATATGTTCCTTCATAGCACTTTCAGAACGTGCTTGTTTGAGTGACTCTGATTCAAAATCAGATGAATCAGATGATTCACAATCAGAAGATTCATCTGAGTGAACAGATGTTGAAGAAATTATAATTGATTGATTGAGGGGTTCTATATCCAGAATATTGTCAGAAAGATTTGGATCTTCTGATGGAATTGGTTGTTCAGAGTGTTCAGTTTGAACAGTCTCTGGTTGGTTTGGTTCTGAGATGATTATTTCTGGTTGGAGAATCTCTAATTGGGGATTATCTGGTTGTGACATTGCTGGGTATGGAATTACTGCTTGAGGAATTTCCGGTTGAATTGTTTCTGTTTGTGGAATTGCAGTTTGAATTGATTCTGTTTGTGGAATTTTTTATTGAAGTGTTTGAGGTTGTGGAATTTCTGTTTGAATTGTTTGAGGGGGTTCAGATATAATATGAGGTTGGGGTTCAGAGGGAATTGGTACAGAAAATGGTTGTGAATGTACTGGTTCGGATGAGGGTGGTTCAGATAAAGGATTTGCAGATTGTTTGGGTTTTGAAATTCTTTGTCTAAGGTTTGGAGAGAGTTGCGGTGATGAAAGGGGTGAATGAACAGCAGGTGTAGGATCAGATGTTAATACCTGATGAATAGTGTCTCTAATCTCTTCCAGAGTGGCATCTCTAGAACTGATTCTGGCTTTCTTTTCTCCTTTCTTCTTCTTCCTTGGAACTTCAGATACTTTCCTTTTCTTCTGAAACGATCCTTCTTCAGCTTTCCTTTTACTACGCCTTTCCTTCATAAGATTGGGAATTTCTTCTCCTTGTTTCTGAACAAGATTAGCAGGTATAGGAATTCCTTCCTTTAGACACTCTGCAATGTAAGTCCAGACAAATTCCTTTGGTTCATCTGCACTGAACATTGGAAAGTCTTCTAAGGGTATCCTTCTGCCATGGACCTCCTCAGAGTTTATCTTCCTTAGTTTTTCATTCAGTTCTGAAATGATTTTCATCCTTTTCAGATTGAGTCCATTTATCTCAGATCCAATGATGTATGACAGATCTTCTGTTACCTTTGCATCTGTCA